CTTCCCCGTACTCTACCATGGTCTGAGACCCCAATGAAAACTGCCCATCGTGGGTGAGCCTGCTGTTATTTAAATTACTGATGGCATAATTTTCTGCTTCACACCAACATGCAATCCACCACAGCAAGCCAGTTGGATAGACTGGTGGTGAATATAATTATGTAAATTCTCTATCTCTTAACTCGTCTTAGATATTACCTACTCACTTCCCAATATGATAAACGAAGAATTTAGTTCTCTTCCCATATCCCTTTTTCTTATCTCTCCTCCCATTGCGATTAAATGACAATGTTTGATTAAATCCTTATTTGGGCTTTTTATTTTGATGATCAAGTAATAAAGTTCATTGCTGAGTTAATAACAATGGTTTCATTTTTCATTTGAATTTATAGCTAAATATCCCCACCCTCACTAGCTGCTATAAAACAACTCTCAACACATTGTTCCACACAGTTGATTGTATCATTTTCTTTCTCTCCCACATCTCCCTCACCAGCCCCCCCACCCCCCCAAGCACAGATCTTTTTTGGAAGTTTCCAACTAACTGCCTGCTCTAATCTGAACTGGTGGTGATGGTGATGACTGTCTGTATATTGCTTCAAGGTTCTTAAGCGAAGATCTTCCTTTTCCATGACTAACTTCCCTCCTACATTGGGTACCGCTGTCTCCCTTTCCCTGTCTTCTTATGTACCGAGGTGTTTTAGTGGCACACATCCTCCTTTTAGCTTTCTGAAAAAGGTACAAGGAGGAAAACATTTTGAGACTTTTCATCTCTAAGGGCATCTTCATTTTACCTTCAGCAGGTCTGAGTTCAAAGCTCTGGGTTCAATTTCCACTCCACGTTCTGCCAGTGTTGCTTCGGCATTATCTAGTTCCAGTGTTACGGTGCATGTCCAGAAGGTCAAGCTGGTTGATTGTGTTGTTTAGCTCTTCTGTTTCTTTATAGATTTTTTTGGTTGCTGTTGTTTGTATTTTTTTCTTAAACCCTGATGATGTCTGCCCTTGAGAGTGGTGTTTTGAAGTCTCCGACTATTGTTGTTGATGTTTCATTTGTTTTCACCTCGGTTAGAATTTGACTAGTGTATTTTGAGGGTCTTTCTGTGGGTGTGCATATGTTTATTAAGGTTTTATGTTCCTGTTGCATTATTTCTTTAATCATATGTAGTGTCTATTCTTGTCTTTCATTGTTACTCCCCTTGTAGTCTATTTTATCAGAAATTAATATTGCCACTCCTGTCTTTTCATAGTTGACATTGGCTTGGTAGATTTTCTTGGCCATTCTTTAATTTTTAGTCTTTTCCTTTAATGTTACTGATGAGCATTCTGATGTCATTTTGATGTTTGATTCTTCGTACGTGAGCTGTATTTTGCTGAATTTGTTATAATCTTGGCTTTGTCCCTGATATTCTGAAATTTCATATCTGTATGCCTTGATATAAGTCTTCATTAATGTTGCTGAGCAGTTGTTTGGACTATTCAAGATGGGGAAATTGCTTGTATATTTTAATACTTACCTTTCCTCTATTTTCATTGTTCTTACTAGGACCTCCATCAGTCAGCTATTGAGTCCTGGAAGGCCTGATCCTCCCCCTACTTTTAAACGAAACCTTTATTTCCTGTAATCCATCCCTACCTTTTTAAGATTCTTTCTATGAGATTACCCTGATGTTATTTTACAGCCCTTTCATTGAGAAAATGATATCTGTATCACTATTCAATTTCCAAAAGCACTTTCATGTTCTGGCATAAAAACAATAAATGTATGACATTGCTGTGGATTGAATTATGTCCCCCCAAAACATGCATTATCAACCCTGCCCCCTGTGGGGTCATAATCTCACTCGGGACTGGGTTTTCTTCATTATGTAAATGGACAGTATTAGTGTAGGGTGCGTCTTAAGTTCATCTCTTCTGAGATATAGAAGAGATTAAACAAAGCAAGCGAACAGACAGGAAGGGGAGCTGCCTCGAAGATCACCAAGGAGCCAGGGACCTGAAGCTGAAGAGACAAGTCTTCCTGCAAAGCTGGGCCCCTGAATTTGAGGCTTCTTAAATCGTGAGGAAATAAATGTTTGTTAAATCCACCCACTTGTGATAGGTGTGTTATGGCCGCACTAGATAACTAAGACAGGCATATCAACCTGATTGTTTCAATGAACTATTTTCTTCTCTTATCTGGGAAAACGATGGTTTGGCTCTCTTTTCTTGATTCCTTTTGATCTTTGTTTGATTCTGTTTCTTTCCTGTTGGAGACTGGCTATTCTTATTAAGAATCAAGTCTTAAAACATTGATGGGAAGAGCTCTGTGTACATGCACATAATCGTAATTTTCATTAATACCTCCAGATGTCTTTGGGACAGCTCGACCATCCTCCCAAATGCTGTATCTTGGCTAAGACCTGAAAACTGACATTCGTGTGCCCCCCATTTTAATCTCCATTCTCTGTCTGGGTCCTCATCTCCACAATCCTTATACAGGGTGTCCTTAAGCTTCTCCAGAGCAGATGTCTCTGACTAGTCTAGTTACAGGCTAGTCCCTGGCCCCTAGACATGCTAGACAAAAATAAGGCCCTTGCTTTCACCTAACTCTGCAGTCCTACCTTCCTAGGTGCCTGGCAAATCCAATTCCTGAGACCATCAGGGCTCTCCAAGGAGAAATGTCTTGGTTGGTCTCTTGTTTTGTGATGGTTGCACCGGGTGCAGCTGCCTTAGCAGTTACCTGCTTCAGCTTGCAAGATTGACTTCCTACAAGACATCCCCAAGGAAAAGCCACATGGACCTATCCCAATGCGGCCCTGGGTGCTGGAGCAGCCGTGTGGAGACCCCTGCTAGTGCTGAGATGCTTATTCGTTTGCTGACTCAGCTTTCCTCCTGCAGTCGGCATCATTGCCTCTGTTTTGTGAGGTGGAGGACTTTGTGGACTGGTGCTGGGTTTGGGTTAATGTTGGACTTGTGGGCTTGGGCAGGCACATCAATTCCATCTTCCTCTGTTCTGCTGGACCATTTCCCATTCCTACATCCTCTTTCTGCCCTAGTAGAGAGTGGGTGGGATTGCAGGCTTCTTTTAATTATATGGGGAATGATGTTTATCTATCTGTGCTCTTGTGATTGGGGAGCACGATTCAAAAGGGACAGCAATGTCTCTACTACACTAACTTAAATACACAAGTCTATGCTGTCTTTCAATTCTCATGTATTAATACTATCATTACTGGAACTGAGATTCAGGGTGGTTATGTTTTGTGCCCGAGGTCAGAAGTGGAAAGTGGCTAAGAACCCAGGTCTTTCTCTTCATTCTCCCACTGCCCCACATCTGAGGAGAACAACAACTTGGGTCAATACCTGGAAGTGATTTGAAGATCTCCTTAGGAGGGAAATGGGCTCCTGCCTGGGTGAAAAATCCCAGGTAACTAGAGTTTCTCAGAGCCAATGAAGAAGCTGGGCTGTTAGTGTAGGCTACCAATGAGAAACAGAACTCCTGGCAAGAGGACCCTGCTTTGGGACAAGAGGCGGAATGGAGCCCAAGGCTAATCTCCAGACTTAAACCATAGAGTCACAGAAGAATGATCAATAAACCCTGAGAGAACTTGGGAGGTAAAGTGGTTTTCAGTGATGCAGGAAGGCAAGCTAGAGGCTAGTGTAATGGTGTGATAATGTGCAAGAGAAATGCACTTGTGAGCACTGAGCTTAAGGCCGTCCTGAGATATTGGTGACTTCAAGATCAGGGTTAGGGCTCTTCTTGCTCTACCGGTGCAACTCTCCTTGGCCGCAGCCCAGGTGGGGCTGAGCTTCAAAGTGAAGAACGGGGTTGGTAACAGAGCATGCTGAAATGAACAATGGCCCATCGCACACGCGCATGGTTTATTTTTGTAAGACTCAAACTTGCGTCTTTACATTTACTCTCTTTGTCATTTCACCTTCTTAGATTTTGCCAAGACTGTCAAATGGGCTTGGTTTCACACACTCACTGTGATCAGTGATAGCTTCCTGGAGCACATCTGAAGAATGGTGCCATAGCTTTGTCCAGGCTCAGAGCAAAAGACTGCCATAGTTGACTAGTGATGCCTGCCATGGGTGCAAGAGAAGAGTTAAAGTACTTCTGCCATCACCAATTCAAACCACTGTTTTGAAGTTTGTCTCTTAAATAGGACTCGTGTCCTCTTTAAATGTGACCAGAATGCTCTTATCCAAGATATGGATAAAGTACTTGAACATGACAGGTCCAGAGGAAGGATAGTTCCATGTGCTGTAGTCTTTGAGACTCATCTCGAGATTGGCATTGTTGTGTATCTTTGGATATAGTTTGGAATTATTTAAAATTGTTTTTCAGTCATTTTTCCACCTTGTACACAAGAGACACGTCCACTTGGGGAAAGACAGAGGAGTATGTCCTCATTTTATATCCATTCCTGACATGCATAAGCTGGAATACTCAGAAGTGTGTGGATCACAGAAGAAAACCTACCGCTGTCAAGTCAGTTCCAACTGATTCAACCCTAGAGGACATAGGGAGAGAGCAGACTTTGAAGTCTTCTAGTCCCTGGTCTCTTCTCATGCCCTGAGCAAATGTTGAGTGCAGTGGGAAGAACGGGCAGTGAAGACCATGCAGAACATAAAATACACAAACAAGCCACATTTCAATAGCTCATACTTTTATCATAAAATACAAACGTTCTAAAATTAAATGTCTTACTTCTATTTTACCAACAACAACAGAAACAAAAATCACTCGTGTTAGCTAAATACAGGTATGGATGTAGTGGAACAAATGAGCATGCAGATGAAGGGTGTGTATGTGTGGTTGGTGGTGGTGGTGGTGGTGGTGGTGGTGGTGGTGGTGTGGTGGTGTGTGTGTTGGTCAATAGATGAGTCTGGTCTTGCTGTTTTCTGTCGGTGACCTGGTTGGAACCTTGGCTTTCCAAACTTCATACCAAGCTGTTGCAGAATCCAGAATTCCAGAGCCCCTAGCCCTTGAGTCAGGGCTAAGGAGGGAGAAGAAGAGGAAATCTAAAATTTGATGCCATTCCCACAGGAGGAAAAATAGGGGCTGTTCATGAGTGGGCCCCCAGACGTTGAGCTGAACCTGAAAGAGAGGGAGTAGGAGAGCTCTCATGAAACCCCTGATGCTGTCAGTGATATTACCTAAAACTCTACGTGAATTTTTGAGATTGTCAAAGAGTATGACGATCATGACAGGTTTGGAGGCAGAGTGCTTTGGCATAATGAAAGGGCAATGGCTCTGGGAAAATAAAATATCAAAGCAATATAAGCAGAAGATAATAAAGAGCTTTATCGGCCACTTAGTTCAGTGGGGGAACATCCAGGGATCTGTGAGGCTCATGCTTTGGCGTGGGGGGCTACACTCTTTCCATGATCAGGATGACAGGGAAGGGGGTTCCCCTGGGTCTGAGCACCTTTACTGAGTGGCTGTGCTCTCTGGAAATGCTATAGGGGACCAGGTGTGTTCCACGGAGATTCCACAACACCGGAGAACTAGGGTCAGGCACCAGCATTGGCCTTGGAATCTAGAGAAGCCGAGGGCCCCCTCTTTCCTTATCAGCGCCGAGCTAACTCAGGCACTTCATGTCAGTGCTGGTCCAAGAAGCGAGGCCTCACTGAGACACCTGGGTCTCTGCTGCACCTTCAGGGAAGGAAGTGCTACTAAGAGCAGAGAGAAGTGCACACCGTTCTACTTTTTCTCCCTGACACCCTCCTAATCACACTTCAAAAAGAGTTCAAAGGCCAGCTCTTCTGGGAAGCCTTCCCTGGACTCGGTTGCTTTCCTTTCCGAGTTCCCACTGCAATTTCTTCAACCATCTGCTGGGGTACTTGGAGGGATGGGAACACAGCTCGGTCCAAATTGCAGCAGAGAAAATGCCTAGATTTAGTCTAATCCAGGGATTCTCGATCACTTTTCAGCTCGGCAGATGCCTATTACCCAAGATATTCACATTTATAGCATCCTCCCATGAACTGAAAAAAGGAGGCAGTGTTGGAGGAAGAGGGGGAGGCGGGGGGAGGGGTGGGGAGAGGGGTAGAGTGGGGACAAACCAAAATCAATGGACGCAAACCTTAGCTGTCTTAGCTGTCAAGAGCGTCTATCTCTTGCTATGCACTTCCCCAGACAAGCTAGGATTTGTTTGCTGTCAGACACCCTTCTCATTAAAATAAGTTCCATGAGGGTAAAAACTCTGCGTGGACCATTCCCAAGGCAGTTATGCAGGGATCTAGGCCAGGACTTGGCACCAGGTGAAAGCAAACGAGTTGCCATGAAGCTGACTTAGACCCCTGGCCGCACCATGTGTGTCAGAGTAGAACAGAGCTTCCTAGGGCTTTTCAAAGACTGGTTTCTGTGGAAGCAGATCACCAGGCCTTTCTACCTCGGGGCCCTTGGATGACTCGGACCTCCAATCTTTCAGTTGGTGGACAAGGGACAGGAGGTAGATGTCAACTAACTCTGCCTCTTTACCTTTCTTTCAAAACTCATATTGGAACCTAAATGATTGAGAGTGATGTTATTATAGGGGTCCCCTGCACCCTACTCTGATGTGTAAAACAAAGGCCAGAACCCATGCTGCTGGTTTTAATAAATTACTCGGGATGCCCTTCACATTTGATGGCCACACCCCAAATATCTAGGCCCTCCACGTTGAGAGATTCACTTAAAGGCCCAGGAAGAGGGGAAGTCCTGTGGACTGAAATAGTCAAGAAGTTATTTGGAGGTTGGGGGTGGGGAGGAGAAATTTGAGTTGCTCCTTAAGTATGGCAGCCAGACCTCCCAATCGCCCGGGAGAGACCCTGCGCTGGCACTTGCAGTGTGATAATTATCAATGCTTCTTTGCATTCTCCACATTATTACTGCGCAGAAAAATAAATCATGTGGTTAGCCAGTATTGAGAAATATCTGCAAATCGCCTTGGCAGAGGAAAGAGAGAGCTCTTCTCTTCCTTCCCTGAGATCACAAAGGCCGCCTGCTCCTTCCTCTCCCACTTGATAGAGTTTAGCCTCTTGATGGCACTTCATTTTCTCCTAACCCAGAGAAGAGCCGACTAGCCTTGTCTTCCAGGCCTAAGTCTCCATTGAGGGCCGTGGGTCCTCTCCTTCTGAAGCAGCCATTCTGCATCACCGGCCCTCCCTCCAACACACCGCTGTGCTCAGTGCTCCCTACACTGCACCCTACAGTGCCCAGGCTTCCCTGCCCCACTGTTACACTTCCCTCCTTCACCCCTCTTCCTTCACCCCTCCTTCCTGCAATCATTTGGATGACTGGCCCCTATGCTTTCTTCTCCCATCTCACTAGATGCTCCTGAGCTCTTGTGCTGACTTCTCCATATCCTACACTCAACCTCTAGATATTGGAAGCCCCAGGTCTCAGTCCTGGGACCTCTGCTCTATATACACTCACTCCCTGGGCAATCTCAAACCACCCCAGGCCATGGTTTTCAATATCATCTATATGCTAATAGAGCTCATAGTGTATGATCAGCCCAGCCTCGCCCTTGAGCCCCAGAATTGGATGCCCCTCTAGCTATCAAGCATTTCACACCTGTCCACAACTGAGAACTCGCATGACGCAGCTTCTGGCTCCAGTCACCCTAATCCTAGCATGTGGGGCACCGCCAGCCACCCAGTTGCTCCAGGGACTACGCTCTCCCCTTTCTTTTCCTCAGCCCATTTTCACTCCAGCACCAAGTCCTAAAAGCATCTCAGATCTTGTCACGTGACTCCTCCTCAATAAACCACTAGCTCTTGCGTGGGCACCTCTAAAAGCATCCTAATTTGCTCCCCTATGTCCAGCTCTTACCCCTAGAGTCCACCCTTCCCGCTTTGGCCAAGGTAGTCTTTTTCTGAGGAGAATTCCTATTTGTCAGGTTATCATACTATGGTGGCTTGAGCACTGCTCTGGTGCTGGGAGCTATGCATTAGTATTTCAAATACAGGCAGGGTCACCCGCCCGGAGTGGCAGGTGTCAGCAGACCTTCCGGGCTAAGACAGACTAGGGGAAAAGGCCCATTGGCTAATGAAAACCCTGTGGGTTACACAGAATGTTTCTGATCTGGGAGGTTGGATGGTACTCAGAATACAGTGGCTGTAACCATGGATACAAGCATATCAAAAATCATCAAGCTGGTGGAGGACCGTGCGTGCGACATGGCTTCCTGTTGTACAGAAGGTCACTCAGGAAGCAGAGGCAACCCAACAGCAACTAACTACAACCTGCTCCATCCACAGCATCACATCAACTCTTCTCCCCGTAGCTCCTTCTTCACATGTTGGCCACAAGGACCTTTAGAACGTCGAGAACCCGAGGATGCCCTCACCAGTTTAAAGGCTTAACAGTTTCCCGGGAATCCCAAATAAAAGGGAAACTCCTTGCCAGGCACGCCAGGGCCAGTAGAGGCCAGTCCTGGCTCCCTCTCGGATTTCAACATCACACTCCGGGCTGCAGCGGCGTGTCTCCGTCTCGGGGTCTTTACACTTTCTATTCCTTCGGCCTAGACGTGTCCATGGCTCATTCAGTCACTCGTTTCACTCTGAGCTGGGTTTAAAATCCATTTCTTAATTCTCTTAGCCCACTCCATTTTCCTTCAGCGTTCCTTCCTTCGTTTATCTCCTTATTGTCTCTCTTGCCTCTAGAATGCAGGCTCCTTGGAGGAAGGACAGCCTTCATCTGTCCACTCACCCTAGTGTCTCCCCTGCCCACAGGAGTGTCAGCCATACGAAAGGGGCTCGTCGATGGGTCTTTAATGGATGCTCTCTTTGGAGACATGCGCCTGCACTCCGTGTCCCCTGGTACTGACTTCGCTTTCCTTGTCTTCCCAGCCTCTCAGGCCACCACTCCACCCGGCAGACCAGGCTCTCCGTCCTCCGTGCGACCCCATTTCCGCTCTCCCCAGCCTCTCCTGCACGTCACACGCTGTGCTTCTTCTTCCTCGCCTTGTCCTCCCTGCAGTCGCCCACAGAGGCCAGGTCCCAGCCCTCTACCCCTAATCTGCATCTCCCTTTTCGTAAGTGACAGGAGGCACAGGGGAAGATTGCAGGGCGGCAGGCAGCTTGTCTCTGCGGTCTCACTGACTCTCTGGCCTTTAGGGAGGGGGTAAGCATGTATGAACCCCAAACCTAGCCCCCCACCAAGAAGTCAATTCTGACTCATCGTAACCCCATATGAATAGATGCTCATAAATAAACCCAAAGAAAACAAGCTCCACTGTAATCGAGTTGTTTCTGACTCAGTGTGACCTGATACGGGGTTTCTGACGTTGTATCTCCTTACAGGAGTAAGCAGCCTTGTCTTTCTCCCAAGGAAGGGCTGGTGGATTTGAAGCGCCACGCTTGCCCTTAGCAGTGCAACGCTTACAAGCACTCCCCCGCTGCCATCGGCCTGACTACAACTCATAGCGACCCCTACAGGCCAGACTAGGTCTGTGCCTTTGGATTTCCAAGACGTTCGGTCTTTCCGGGAGCAGGCAGCCTCGGCTTTCTCCAGCAGAGCAGGTGGGTTTGCACTGCTGCGTCTCTCGTCGTATAACCCTCTCGCTCACACAGACCCTGAACGTCACCCCTAGACACAACTCCTTTTCTTGTCTCCCAGGTCTCCTCCGTCCAGTCAATCCACTCTGGGTCCCCAGGCCTGGTAGCCAGCAGTCGTTGGCAATTCTATGGCAACCACCCTGTTCCCATCTTGTCTTTTCTCCTTTTTTCAGGGTCAAGGAAGGGAGAAAGGAAAAAGAGAGACAAAAGGAAGTTGTGAGGTTCATGTTCAAATACCACTATCAACCATCCTCTTGAAGATTCTCAATACACCCTAGGAAATTAAATGATCAGAGAATTTCCACAGTTCAGAAATCTATTCATCTTTCATCCCCACAGCTTTCCCCAAACATACCTGATTATAGAAACTTCTTGCTAGCCTATATCCCCTTTAATGAGACATTGGGTGAGGAGTGCTGACTAGAAGGACGAGGGGTGGGAGAAATCAGTGGACCTTGCAGTAAAGGTCTGGGATGGGAAGTGGGAGGGGAGAGGACAAAGGTCAGGGTGGGAGTGCTGGCCCTGATCCTATAAACGAGCCCCTCCCCAGCGGGGTGCACACTCTCCATGGTGTGCCTGGGAGACTCCAATCCCAGGGGAGGGCACAGCACTTCCTCTTGGAGTTATGAGTTGGAGACTGGGCGGGTAGAGATGACAGCTGTTGGTGGCTCTGGTACAGAGAGTCATTACTGAAGATGTTGGTGTATTCATGCTCCTGCTGGGGGTTTGAGGCTGTGTCTCAGACCCCCCCTGGAGACTGTGACCCCGTCTTCTCTGCTGTTTGGGGGTCTTCCGTGGGAAGGCATGAGCAGCGCTGATAAGCCGTTGAAGGCCCTTCTGCAGGGCCTGTCATCAAGTCAATGGGGTGTTCAGGAGATTACCCTGGCCAGGGACTCTCGGTGCACTGGATGGGAGGACAGCGGTAAGAAGATTACCTGGCCAAGACCTGTTGGACACTAAGCAAATGGGTAAAGGCAAAACAGCCTGCTCCACGACTGCCCTTCCTCTGGCGCAGCGTGGCTATTCCACAATGGTTGCATTTCTGCAGTCCAATTGGAAAGCCCAGCCTGGACTGGACATACCAAGGGGAGTCCACCAAGGACCTTTATCCTACTCACCTCTGTACAAGGCCCCTCCCAGGATTCACAGGCACAAGGCTTCCCCCACCACCAGCACCACCACCCCCAGCCACAAAGCATGCATACCAAGAAAGCACCCATGAAGCCCACCACACTCCCGCCCCCTGTCCAGCAGCTTTCTGGGTATGGGCTGGGCTGCTAGAGTCGGCTGAGGACTTACCCGTAGGCCTGGGGAAAGAGGTACTGCCGTCCATCTCCTGCCATGGGAGAAGGGTCTCGGGGGTTGGTGGAGAGCTTCGGTGGAGTCCTCTGAGGATATGGATAGTTGGGCTGGACAAAGGGGATGTAGCTCAGCAAGGGGGTGTAGGATGATCGGAAAATCTGCTGTCCAAACTGCTGGGGGTTGTACGGTGCCACCTGGAAGTCAGAGGGAGGGAGGGAAGGGCTAACTCCAGTAGATCTCCCTGCTTCTGAACATAACCATTCCCAGGCCTGACCTCTGCCCCACCTCAAGCCCTCAGCCCCTGTGCTCAGCCAGGGAGGGGTACAGAGAAGGCAGCATGATTGCATGGGAACAGCACCGGAGTCAACTTCTGCCTATGAGTCTAGTGATTTACTTAAATGTTGTGCGTCTCCGTTTCCTCATCCAAAAAATGGGCAAACGCTGTCAAGGTTGTGTGGGAATTGAAGGAGCTGATATGAAAAACTCACATCAAACAAATAGCAAACACATTTTGTTAGTTTTCGCTTTTCAGTCATCACCCTCCCACTCTCCTTGTTCATCTCCAATAAGTAGGGAGCACAGGCTTCCACCTCATGATCTCACTAGACCCCCAAGTCCAAGACTGTGCTAGCTAGTGAGACTCCTTGATAGGACCCCTGTCTGTATCTGTGCTGCTCGATGCAACAGCCATTAGCCACGGGTGGCCCTGGGGCACACAAAATGTGGCAAGTGCACTTGAGGAACTGACTTTGTTAGTTTTACTAGATTTTCATGGATGGGGCTTTAATACAAATTTAAATAGCCACACACAGCTGGTGGCTTCTGCATTACACAAGGTGGCTCTAGGAGAAGGGGCAAACGCCCCGAAGTGAAGTGAAATTCAGTTCCAACCCTAGAGGAGTACAGGATCGCTGTGGGGCTTCTGAGGTGGCCTGGCTCAAATGTCCACCAAGAATTGTGACTCCAACCATCCTGCCCCAAGGTAGTGACCGCATCTGTCTGATTTTCGGATCTTTCCCAGTCCCTGAGTAGTCTCTGGCACATGGTAGCAGTTCAATACATGCATGTTTAATGAATGCATGCAAGATAGGAACAGAGCAAAAGGAGGGAGGGAGGAGGGAGGAAACAAAGGAGGAACAGATCACTAAGAAGCTGCTTAGCACCTAAATTGATGGGGATCTCACTACACTGTGAGGATTGTATTCCACTATTGGTAGCTCCAAGCACCAGAAATCCCTTCCTCAGAAGGAGCTGGCATCCTCCTCCTGAGCCGAGTGAAGGCGTGAAAGTGAAGTGAAGAAGTGGAGAAGTTTCTGGATCCCCACTTGAATAGCAAGAGTCTGAGGTCCACGCTGCTTGGGGAGCAGCATTCTGACAACCCTCTCGTACCCTCTTGTCTACTGAAAAAGAACGAAAGCTAGCATTTATGGGATGCCCAGGGTGGGTCAGGTCTTTGCAATGGATTCTTTCACTTAAACCCCCAAACAACCCTGGGCTGTAGGACTATTATTTTCCCCCTGCTGCATATGAGGCAACCGAGGTTCTGGGAGGTCAAGTGACGCGCTTATTAAGGTTTTTGAGCATCCGAGCTATGGCTGGAATACCCATGGTGTGAGCCCAGACTCTGGGAGCAGCACCTCTGGGCTGTGTGCCCCGGAGTTCTCTCTGCCTTTCGCCTAATGGAGATACAGGGTCTGCTGAGAATGTCACCCCACCCCCAAGATAACGAGCTAAGGTTTGGACCCACCAAGGGCTCACAAGGAGACCCAGGAAGGTCCTCCCGGGACAGACCCCTGCGGGTCAGCATGGCAGGCAGATTGTGCTCGCAGGAATGACCCCTGGACTTTGCACTGGAGGGCAGGGTGCGGACTTGGGAGGAAACTGACATGTAAGACAGGATGTGGGGCCCAGAGCTTACATAAGCTTTCTTCCAAGATGCAGCCCTAACTCCGTGTAACTGATAAAATGCATAAACCGGAGCTTTGTCGACTGTTCTGGAACCATCTCCAAGATATACTTGTCACTGACAAAAGCAAAGCCCGGAACAGCGAGCCCAGAATGCCACCGTTTGTACAAAACGGGTTCTATAAATAGATTTCACGGGAAGGATACCTAAGGCACCATTATCAGTGATTGCTTCTAAGCTTGTTTGTTTTGTTTCACCATGTTCTTATCGTGCTGTTTATATTCTTATATGGTGCATGCACACACACACAGTTATTGTCCGAGCGCATCCTCTCTGGGGCCAGACGGACGGATCACGGCATCACTGCTCATGGTGTCAGCTGAGCTTCCTTGAGCCAGGCGATCGATTTCTCATGGTCACTTCATCTCAGGCCACAAAGGGCTCTGCAGCTGCAAGGCAGTCCTGGCCCAGGGGACAAGGCCACTTACCCTTCTGGGCCGCCTCCCTGCTCTTGGGGCCAACATGAGCATTCTAGCATTCTAACCTTTCAGGTCAAGGTGCGGAGGCAGGGTGAGGCTCTCTGAGGAGAGGGATGAGGCAGAGTTTTCGGGGAGGTGAGGGTATGTGTGTCCATCCAAGTGCAGACCAATCCACGGAGGTAGAAGGTTGGCCTTTGGTGGCCTCTACCCCCCATTCTGAGCTCCCTTATCACTGCCCCAAGAAACCCAGTGTTTCTGAATGGCCTGCTTGCTGTGCATGTGTGCACCTAGATCGTGTGTGTGCAGCGGTATGTTTCCTTGCATCTGTGTGCCCGGGGTGTTGTCTTGTTGGTTCTGCGGCTCTGTTGCTGGCTGTCTTTTACTGTAACGGTGGCTGGGAGCTGCAGCCCCTCGGCCTTTGGCTCCTGGCAGCCCCACGGTGGCACAACGGAACGGAGCGCTGCTCAGCCCAGCGTCAGCCTCATGATGGATCCAGAGGGCTTTCACTCGCTGCTTCTCAGAAGTCGATAACTAGGCCTGTCCTCCTAGCCCTTTGTCATCGGGAAGCGCTACTGAACCCTGGTCAACATCTTAGCCACACTGGCAGCTGGGTGGTGGCTGAGCAGGAGGTACCTTGGCTGGGAATGGGACCCAGGTCTCCCCCCTGGAAGGTGAGAATTCTACTCCCGGGCCGTGAGTATGACGGGAGCGCAGCCTGGCGAGGGGGAGCACGGACCCTGATGCCCGAGGTCATACCCGGATCCTGCCAGTGTGCCAAGGGCCAGCTGATGCTTGCCTGCCTCTCCTCGGTGAGAGGAGGGCCATCAGATGTAGCCAAGTAAAATGCAGGACGGCAGTTCGAGTTGTATTTCGGTTCCATAAACGATTTTGAGAAAGGGTGACCCCGCAGTAAGTGAGATACACTCATGCTGCGGTTGTACCCACGGTCCCAAATGCATATGAAAGTTGGATGCTGCACAAGGAAGACCAAAGGAGAAATGTGCATCACCATCTATGGTGCTGGCAAAGACGATGGAAAGAACCAAGACTGTTCAAAGGACAAGCGGCCCTATCTTGCTGGAAGGACAGCCAGGGGATCCCTAGAAGGGAAGATGGCAAGACTCTGTCTCTCACGCACTGGGGACATGTAATCGGGAGGCCCGTCTTTGGGAAAGCAGAGGGCCAGTGCAAACGAGGACGACTGGCATGGGGATGGACTGACGCAGCAGCTGCAACAAGGGGCTCAAAAAAACCCCCAGGCCCGGGCCGTGCTCGGTTCTGTGCTCCACAGGGCTGCCGGAAGTTGGGGCTGACGTGACAGTACCTCACAGCAGTAACGGACTGTCGATCTGGGGGACGAGCAGGTTGCACTAGTCAACACAGGCAAAGCCCTTGCAGGTGCTCTCGGCACGCAGTCCAGGCTCGGCCCACGTGGCCTGTGATTCTCTCGTGACCATGCGGCCCCTTGTCTTCACACGCGTGAAGGTATGTGTGTCCGTACTCCTGCGCTAAAGGCCCAGCAGCACGTGTGGCTAGTAACAGACTGGACAAAGATGACTACCAGAGCAGCAGCCGTTTCTACTGGACCCTGTGGTGGGGACTAGCTGAGTCCATGGATGGGAAAGGCCTTCGTGGTGCTAAGACTAGGGTGAGCAGGTCATCACTCACCTGTCGGGAGTAGCAGCCCAGTTGGGGGTGCAGGGTTTGCTGGTAGGGCATCCTCATGGCTCTTTGTGGGTACAAGCCCTGGGGAGAGGAGGGAGGGGCTCAGTGTCGGGGACAGCAGCGTGCCAGCCGCACGGCCATTGCTCCCCAGCTCAGCTTCCAATGCCCATCCCCAGATCATTAGGCATGGCCGATCTGGTTCACCCCACTGCTGCCCAGTCCCACAGTCATTCAAGACTGGCTGGAATCAAGCCAAAGGGAACACAACTTAGGCCACCCAGTAAGCTCCTCTTCAGCAGGGGCTTTTTGGATGAGTGGTTAAGATTTCAGAAGCTTCAGGAGCCCGATATGTTTCTTGAACCTCAGGGCAACCCCTCACTGGCTGTGTTAGCTTGGACAAGTCGCTTCACCTTTCTGGGCCTCTTTTTCCTTATCTATAAAGTATGTGGGCTGAAGGCAGCCAAGTTATCATTGTGGCCACCTTCACACCTCTCCCCAAATCCATTCCTGCCCTAAGACTCCTGAGGGCCAGGAAAGTCTCCCTGTCGCTGTTGGTCTCCATCTCTCCTTGTGTGTGTGTGTGTGTGTGCGTGCGCCTGCACCTACATTTACTTATGTAACTCTGTCTGTACTGACATCTGCATCTATGCAGCTGTACATTTCTGTGTGCCCAGGTGTATTAGTGTGGGTTTCTTCTGCTGTGTGTTCATACATACGTACACCTGTGTCTGTGCCCTGTGGGAGGGTTGGCGTGAGAACAGATGAGTTAATACATCAAAAGAGCTTATAATAGTTACATAAAAAAAAACATCGGGGAAAAAAAACCAGTAAGGACGTGATAATGCCTGGCATTTTTATCATCTCTCAGTGCCCCCTCACTTGAAGAGGCCATCTGGCAGCTCAGCCAGATTCTAGTCACAACTTTGTCCCAGGCGGCCTTAGGATGCTCTTGTGCACACACACATGTGGTGTGCGAGTGAGTGAGCGTACAAACACACACACACACACACACACACACACACACACACACACACACACCATTGAGTCAGACTTCAGTTATGCCACTGCAAGGAGGGTCCATCTTAGACTTCTGTCTCTACCCCCATGTTGTGCTCAAAGCCCAGCATGCCCTCAGCCCACGGTTCCCTCCCTGGGAGTCCACGTCCTGAGACACCCTGTGCCGCCACCCTGTGCTTGGACAGTGACTGGCATCAAGCAGGGTCAAACGTAAAACAAGGGCCCCGGAGATTCTGACCGGGAAGATCTCATGTGTGCCAGGGTGGCACTGTGTGCTCCACAGGGTTTTCAATGGTCGTGTCCTTTCAGAAGTAGACTGGCAGGCCTTTCCTGTGAGGCACTTCTGAGTAGATTCAAACTACCAACCTTTGGGCTAGTAGTCACACAGTTAACCAGTTGCACCACCCAAAGTCTCCTTCACAGCCCCTGGGGCCCCGGTAGGTAGAAGGCTCTAGAATCACTGACAGGGGCCCTACCCAGATGTCTCCAGGCTCATAAAGACTCACCAGCATCTCAATCCTGAGCATGAGACCCTCTACCCCCATGCGCTTGACTCTGCCCACCCAACCTTAACTCCTACCAACTCTTGCTCAGGACACCTGCGCCCTCCTCCCAGGCCTGCTACATACAGGGCAAACCCACTCATTCACTGCCAATGGCCAGCAGCCTTAGCTTGGAACTGGACATTGTAGCCAGGCAGATAGGGCTGCCTTGCCTGCTTGGCCCTCTGGTCAAGCTCCGGGGCCACTCCACAGAGTGCCAACCTGAGCTCCTCCACCTTATCCCTCCGGTGGTCTCCCTCCTACCCTCCAGGGGCACCTAACTCTGCTTTCTACATTCAGATCTCCTCCCCAAAGAATGGCAGTCTCCCTCAACCACCCCCTGACCATTCCTCTTGAGCCTGTGAGAGACAAAAAAGCTACCCACCCACCCCTGCCAGCTCGTTCTGGGGACAGACTTCCCAAAGAAGGGCATCGTCACAGTCATCAGTATGAGCAACACTGTCTGCACGACTTTCAGAGCATTTCTGCCGTTAGAACTGCAATTCTGTAAAAGCATCAGTAAGAGTAAATAAACATCAATGCTTTGCTCACAGCGAGGCCTCTTCCCACACACCCTCCTTCCCTCACTGGGAACAGTTTCTCGATGCCAAGCAACCCGGGGGCTTTGCCTTCCACATCTCGGCAGAGATTCCCTTGGGGTAAATCCCATCTGGGGACTCATCTTTATTCCTAAGCAAGGAAGATGGCTACCCCTTCTCTGGGTCCTCGGCCTCCAGATCTGTGGAGTCGCGGGCAACACTGCCCAGGACCCTGGTGACAGGAGGAGCATAAACGCTGGCATCTGCACCATAGTTGAGCGTTGACAGAGTCCCTTCTCATAGTGACTCATCTAATCCCCATAACAGGGTCAGATGGAAACGGCCGCCACTACTCTCATCATTAATAGCCACTTGTGCAGATCCACCACCTATCTGTCCGTTTGTACTATGGTGGGGACTGAGATGATGCTGTGATACTGGACATCTTGACACTAGTGTTTTAAATACCAGCAAGGTCACTAAGGGTAGACAGGCTTCAAGTAAGCTTCCAGATGAAGACAGACTCAGAAGAAGTCTTGGCGATGGTATTTTGAAACTTAGCCAATCAAAACCCTATGATCACACCAGAAAAGTGCCTGCTATAGTGCTGGGAGAGGATCCCCCTACCGTGGAAGGCATTCAGATGCACAGTGAACGTAACAAAAATACACAGCACACCAACAGCCATGACAATGGCAAAGGCCTGGGTGATGCGTTGTCCCATTGGGCATGGGGCACATAGGATGGCCAAGAGTCCTAGCTGAGTCAGGGCAACTAAGGGTAACGTGGTAGAAATGAGGAAACCCAGCCTCAGAGAACTTAACCAACTTCCCCAAGGCCACACAGCTGGAAAGCAGCCGGATTCTTTTAAACCCCGGTTGGTCAACAAATTCCAAAACCCGCCTTCTCCCTTGACCAGCTCTCTCGGAGCTTGGCAGTAGCCTAAGGCCATGAGAAGTTGCAGAAAGTAAGTCGAGGGTCCCTCACTGCTCCCTGGGAGGATCAACTGCTTTCACAGCAGACTTCCACAGGCTCATTCGGTGCCTAAACTGCACTAGAGGGCCCAGAGGTCCTGTCAGCCCTGGACTGCTCTGCCTATAGCCAGGGCACCTGGGAGTCAGGCCTTATGATGTGCATAGTAAACAGAGGGCACCTTCATGCTCAGAAAATGCTAAGTCCAATTCTAAGCCACTACAAGAAGTCAAGCCAGAAGAAATTAACATGACAAAGAGACATTATTTCCTCTTTATAAAGCAAACCATTGCAAATTTGCTTTGCCTGGTGAGCTCTGGGAGTGCATTTTAGAGTGACTTGGTTTATACCATATAAACATATATGAGTGTTTCTCTTTCCGCGGTGGAGGGTGTATGGCCTGAATTGTGTCCTCCCCCAAAGATATGTGAACGTCTGGGCGAGATTTGACCTTGTTTGGAAATAGGATCTTTGAAGATAGAACCTGTTGAGGACCCCTGGTGGCAGAGTGGGTTAGGCACTAGGCTGCTAACCCCAGAATCAGCCATTTGAAACCAGTACATGAGGCTTTCTTTGTCCCCAAAGATTCACAGTCCAAGAAACCTACCGGGGCAGTTCGACCCTGTCCTGTAGGGTCACTATGAATGAATCAGAATCAACTCAGTGGCAGTGGATTTGGCTTTCTTATGACCACTTACCTTAACCTTAGGTTGTGTTGGAGTAGGGTGGGATCTAATTCAATCTGAGTGGTGTCCTTATAGAAGGGAAGAGAGGCAGAGACAGAAAGACAGTCATTTGAGGAGGAAGATAGATGTGACTGCTAGCCACAGGACACCAGGATGCGGGGGAGCCACCAGTAGCATGGAACAATTTCTGTCTCAGAGTGCTCGGGAGCAGACAGTCCTTCTACTACCCTGACTTGAACTTCTAGCCTCCAGAATTTATGAGGCAGGACCTTTCTGCTAGTTTCCTTTCAGCAGCTGGAGGAAACCGACACAGAGGTGTCCAGTGTGCCTGCTGTTGGTCTGTGGTTCACTCCTCCCTGGGATCAAACTCTGAGCTGCCCAGTCCCCCTGCCAGCCCCCCAGAGCACCGTGCTTGGCCTCTAAGTAGACTTTCCAAAAATTGTTTCAATACGTGAGTACATAAAGAATGAATAAATCAGTGAGTGGTTGAATGGGCAGAGAATAAGCAGGCACAAAAATGCACAGGTAGAAGAATCATGGGGAAGGAGTCAGGGACACAGGAAGCCCGTGAACCAAGCACTTCCCCCAAAGACCTATGTAAGCGGAATGCGCTGCACGTGGGAAACCGCTGCGCTGTCACGCATTACAGTGCCTTGCATAGGCTTCATTATCCCCTCACCTCCATGATGGGACAGGAGACTTTCTGTCCCGGGGGAGCGAGGGTGGACAAACAAAGAAAAAAGACTTGAGATCGTAAGTGAGGCCAGGCTTCCCGGTCAGAGGGAGGCTGGTTGGGCATCCAACCTTACCCTTTAGGTATGGAACGGTCTGTATTAGAATAATCAACTGTTCGTGATCCAAAGTGCGGCACTCACCCAAGGACAAAGTTCAGAGCCCTCAGAGAAGAGGAGGAGTGGAAGGAGAGAGCACAGGAAGTGAGGTCCAAGTGGGACTGCCATGAATCAGAACATAGAACTCTCTCTGTAAACCTTCACCCAGTTCACAATCAAAAGCTTAAAAAACAAAACGGCCTGCTAGCAAACCTCTGAGAGAGAGAGAGAGAGAAAGATCGGTGTTAAGACATTCCGTGGAGTTCCAGCTGAAGATTCAGGAACTAAGTCTGATGGACCAGCAGAGAGAGTCTTTACATGGATTATATTTAGGACCGCTGAGAGAAAAAGATTCGCCATCAGTTGTAGGGGAGAAAATGATCTGTCTTAGTTACCTAAAGATGCTGTCACATAGATGCTATTAAGTGCCATGGAGTTCATTCCGACCCATAGCAACCTTATGTACAAAGAACAAAATTCTGCACGATCCTTCGCCATTTCACAATTGTTCCTGTGCTTGAGCCCATTAGTGTGGCCACTGTGTCAGTCCCTCTCATTAAGGGCTCTCCTCTTTGTCACTGCCCCTCGACTTGACCAAGCACGAGGCCCTTCTCCAGGGCATGGTCTCTTCTGACAACATGTCCCAAGTACAAGAGACGAAGTCTCGTCGTCTTTTCCTTTAAGGAGCATTCTGGTTGTCCCTCTCCCAAGACAGCTTTGTTTGTCCTGCTAGCAGTCCATGGTTCTTTCAATATTCTTAATTCAAATGCATTGATTCTTCTTTGGTCTGTGTCCAACTTGCACATGCAGATGACACAATGGAAAAGACTACGGCTTGGCTCAGGTGCACCTTAGTCTTCACAGTAACATTCTTGCTTTTCAACATTCCAAAGAAACCTTGTGCAGCAGATTCTTCCCAGTGCAGTGTGTCTTTTGACTGCTGTCTTTTGACTGCTGCTTTCATGAACAATGATTGCGCAGCCAACCAAAACAAACTCCTTGACAGCTTCAAGCTTTTCCTCGTGTATTATGATGCTACCCATTGGTCCAGTTGTAAAGACTTGGGTCTTCTTGACATTGAGTTGCAATCCTTGATCTGCATCAGCAAGTGCTTCAAGTCCTCCTCACTTGCAGCAAGTAAGGTTGTGTCCTCTGTGTATCACAAGCTGTTAAGAAGCCGTCCTCCAAGTCTGATGCTACACTCTTCATAGAATCCAGCTTCTCGGATATCACATTTACTAATGGAGACTGGAAGCTAAAGGTTCAAATCAGGGTCTAGGCCAGAACCCTCTTTGCTGATAGCTCCTGACATTCCTTGGTTCCCCAGCGTTACTTGACTTACAGGCTATCCTGCCATGCCATCTATCTTCCCCAAGGGTGTCTTTCTGAAGCTGTTCTTGTCTTTTTATCATTGAGAAGCGACTGGGTTTAACATTCTCTCTACACTGGTACGGCCTCAACTGACTGACTGATTGACTGGCTGCATCATACCACGTTGCATTTTGGAAAGCAATCCCCTCTCTCCAAGGCTAACTAATCTAATCACATGGAAATACTCCATGACCACAAGTAGACCAGTGTTTGGCCAAATAATGAGGAACAACTGATTATCCAGGCTGCCACCTGAAATTAACCATAGCATGACCTAAGGGGTCAGGGAAGAAGAAGAGGCACAGAGGCAGGACAGACTGAGTGTTGGGCATAGATCTCTAGTTCCTTTCTCCAGCTTTGCCTGACAAGCTTGAGGCAAAGGGATCCCCAAGAAACTGGACATCCCAGTTTGTTTGGGTTCCTGTCTCTTCCCCACACACCGACATGTCGATCTGGAGAGAATCCAGGTAAGGGGTCTGAAGACTGAGAAAGCTTAGAGACCAAGCAGTTTTCCTGAGCAGTACCAGAAGGGACTATTTAAGTTATTGAATTGGACAAAGGTTTAAACTAGAGTGGACAGTTATTTGATTTCTCCCTCCTACTACCTGGTGGGCAGCAGCTCTGGAGGGATATTAAGTTAAATAGACAAAATAAAGAAACTACATTTTCCCTGCATAAATAAGTTCCCTGAGTAAAATTTCCAACTCCATTACAAATGTCTCCTCATCCCTTTGTGTCTGGGCACACTTTCCTTTTAGCTATAATTCCAACACCAAGAATGTATGCCAAGTCACCTTAGCTGGGGCAAGCTAAGGGTGCTCCAATGCGGTTTAGGGCCCCATAATTTCACATCCAGACTAAGGCCATACAATGTAATGTCCGATCGAAGATGTGTATGTACTTGAATTTGTATGTGTATATTGTGCTGCAATGGTCATTGGTGTTCATGTATCTATTTGAGTCTCTGATGTCAGGTCCTTTGGATATACACCTACAAGTGGAATTGCTTGTCAGATGCTAGGCTCTTGATGAGATGGGTTGGCACAGGGGCTGCAACGATGAATTGCAGAAACCACCATTGTGAGGATGGTTCAGGACCGGGCAGTGTTTTCCACAGTCATGGTGGCATTTTCTAGTTTGACCAGCACCCTCGCCAACACCTGTTGCTTCCTGGTCTTTGTTTTTAGCCACATAGACCTTCAGGCGGGTGTTGTAGTGTCTTACTGGAGCTCGCTTTCTATTTCCCTAATGACTAATGAGCATCTTGTCATGGGTTTGTTGGCTATGTTTCTTCTTTGGTACAATGTCTATTCAAGTCCTTTGCCCATTCTTTCCGTCGGGTGGTCTGTCTGTGTGCTGTTCATGGCAGCACTCTTCACAGGGGGTGAAAGGTGAAAACCAATCTAAATGTTCATCAATAGATGAATAGCTTCACAGAACGTGGGACCTATGTAGAGTGGACTACTCCTCCGCTAATCGAGAGAAATGAAGTGCGTGCTGTGCCGTGGATGAACTTTGAAAACCTACTGAGACAAATAAGACCGTCGCAAAGGATAGATAGTATATGATCCACTTATATTAAACTATCTGGAAGAGGGAAATGCATGTAAAGACCAAAGTTTACCAAGGGTTACCGAGGATGGCAGGGATTAAGAGAGAAAATAATTGCGTAGGAGGCACTGAGCTTCTGTGGAGGATGATGAAAATTTGAAAATGGAAGATGGTAAGTATTTCCCAGCATGATAAATGCAATTTGTGTAACACATTTTATAGAAAAATCGTTACAACAACGACAAAAAAAAGCAATAACTACCAAAAAAAACATTTTTTGTGGTTGTATTGTTTTCTTATGTTGTTTTGTTTTGCTTTGTCTTGTTTTTGTGCATATTACTGTCTCTGCAGGTCTATCTAGATAAGATAGGTGAGATAAACAATCCGGAGGAGAAAGCAACAGTACCGATGGCTCCGGGGTCACATGGAGAAGGGGAGGTTGGGGAAAGGAATTGGGTATTAACAAACCCAGGGACAAGGGAACAACGAATCATCTAAAATTGATGGTGAGGTGGGTGTAGGAGGCCTGGTAGGGCTTGATCAAGGGCAATGTAACCAAGAGGAATTACTGAAACTCAAATGAAGACTGAACATGATAGTGAGACAAGAGGAAAGTAAAAGGAAATAGAGGAAAGAACTAGGAGGCAAAGAGCACTTAAAGAGGTCTAAATACAGGCATGTACATATGTAAATATATTTTTATACAATGATGGGGAAATAGATCTATGTGCATATATGTATAGGTTTAATATTAAGGAAGCAGATGGACATGGGGCCTCCACTCAAGTACTCCCTCAATGCGAGAACACTTTGTTTTGTTAAACTGGCATTCTATGATGCTCATCTTCCCGACACGATCGCTGAAGACAAAGTAGGTGCATAAACAAATGTGAAGGAAGCTGATGGTGCCTAGGTATCAAAAGATATAGCATCTGGGGTCTTAAAGGCTTGACGACAAACAAGCGGTCATCCAATTGAGAAGCAACAAAGTCCACATGGAAGAAGCACACCAGCCTGTGTGATCATGAGGTTCAGGTATCAGGCATCAAAGACCCAGAACAAAAAAATCCTATAACTGTGAATGAGGTGGGGGGAGTACAGATTGGTGACCCAAAGCCCAGCTATAGGCAATTAGACATCCCCTTACAGAAGGGCTCAGGGAGGAGACGAGCCAGTCAGGGTACAGTATAGCACTGATGAAACACAATTTTCCTCTAGCTTCTTAATGCTTCCTCCCCCCATCCCCCTACAATCATAACCCCAATTCTACCTTACAAATCTGGCTAGACCATAGCACGTACATGGGTACAGATAAGAGCTGGAATACAGGACAGATAAAGTTCTCAGGACCAATATTGAGAGTAGCCATACAAGGAGGGGAAGGGGAAGGTGGGGGGAGAAAGCGGGAACTGATTCCAATGATCTACCTATAACCCCCTTTCAGGGGGATGGACAACAGAAAAGTGGGTGAAGGGAGACATCAATCAGTGTAAGAAATGAAAAATTATAATAACTTATAAATTATCAAGGGTTCGTGAGGGAGGGGGAAACGGGGAGGGAAGGGCAAAAATGAGGCAACATATGTACAAATGTGCTTGACACACGATGAATGTATGTATTGATTGGGATAAGAGTTGTACAAGCCCCCAATGAAATGAATACAAAAAAGATTTGTGTGAGCCCCCATTAAAATGATTTTTAAAAAGAAGAAACGTTGTTACAATAAGGTGCCCATAGAATTTAACCACCAAACTAAGCCCCTTGGGAGTGAGTGGGGATGTTTTCACAGTTGTGCTGAAAGAGAGCCTTTACACAGAGACAGGCACAAGTCACGTAGGAGGCATGGTCATCTCACTTCAAAGGAAATTACAGGAGGTAGGTGGGAAATGAGGAGCATCCCATCATCCTACCCATTAATCCGATGAGAAATTGTACGGGAAGCACAGAGCCAAGCAAAATTTGAAAAGCAGCGCTGGGATACAGTCCAGAGTGAGCTGGATACAGAAATAGATATGTATCGATGCATAAAGTGCATATGTGTGTGCCTGCATTCTCGCAGGCACGCGCACACATGCGTGTGCACACCAAATGATTAGTGTACCGTGGCCGCTGGAAGAAAAGCACTCAGCAGGTGCTTACCATAGTGCCCGTGAGACCTCTGGAATGGAGGGATGGAGATCAAGAGATAGCAGAAGACTTAGGATGAACTGGGTTTCCTGCAAGCACCCCTCCTCTATGGTCAGACCCCCGAGTGGGTGGCCCCAGGAGGAGCCAGGCCCAGCGCCCACACGCTCACCTGATACTGTGGGAAGGCGGAGTGGTTTGTGAACACCGGTGGAGGAGGGTAGTTCAGGTTCAGCCAGAGTGGCTGGTTCAGGGTCGCGGAGGTCAAGGCGGTGGCAAAGCGTGGGGTGAAAATGTTGCCTGTGTACTTGTTCTTCTCTGCCGCTGTCACAGACCGGTGCACTGCAAGTCAGAGGAGAGAAGAAGTGTTCCAGTGCCCAACGGGGGCATCGCCAAGGAGTATTGTTCTCTGGAGGAGGTCAGGTTCCTTAGGCTCCACGAGAGTTCTGCAAGGTTCGGATGCATTTCCAGCCACAGGGAAGGAGGATGAGTTCCCGTAGTGCAAGTTTGGAAGGGGTGAAACTCCCAACGTGCTCTGGCTTGGAGCTTCTTTTTCCCCCATCATCCTTTAAGGAAGGCGGCAGCTTAGCAAGGGAATGCAATAAACCATATTGCTAGGAAGCGATTGCCTCTGCTTACCAAGCCAAATTCTTTCAAGTGCTTGAGAAAAATCCAGTTTTCTGCAAACAGTTGCTAGGCCCCTGGAATCCATTCTTATCAAATTATTAAAGCAGGCCCCCTAAGGACACAGACTTGGCACTGCTGCGAACCTTGCACGGGTTGTTGTATTTATATGGGAATAATTTGTTTAATGATCTTTTTAAGTATTATATAACTCAGCTTGGCATGAGGCCAAATTTATCTGAAAGAATGCGGTTTTGTTGAATAGTTTCAGGATATGAATCCTGGAGTCTGGCCAGGCGCCTGTGGCCAGAGCCGCAGGGTCCTCAGTTTCCCCCGTATCAGCATCTTTCCGGGAGAAAGGAGGTTTGACGGCCCGTCAAAGAAGCCCATGGGGGAGAAAGCAAGGAACCAAATAACCCTAATGGGTGCACAATAACCTAAAGCCGTGGACCCTCCTTGGCCACGTGACAGCATAGGATGCATGCTGGGTCGGGACTGTATTCAACACGGGCCATTCATCATGCCCAGGTGACCCATGGAAGCTCGCATCATAGTCCCAAGAAGAACCGCAGAGAGAAAGGCAGCTCCCCACTTTGCAGGTTGGAGAGCCGACTCCGTTTGCTGTCGGAGGTGCCCTTGGGGCCCCGAGGGGTCCCAGGCTCCCTCCCGCTGCTGACACCCCCTGGGGAGGGCCGCCTTACGTTTCAGCTCCAGTCCGTCCACCTCCACTTTGCTGCGAAGCCTCAGCTGCCCGCTGGGGTGCTTGGTGGCCCCGAGGAGCTCATAGAGCAAGTTCTTCTCGGCTGGCCTTGCAGCCTTCTTGGCGGCCAGAACCACGGACACGGTCCCTGCTGGGTCACTGCAACCCTTCTCGCCACAGCTGTCCTTCCGGCTCAGGGGCCACTGACCGAGGCAGAGGCTCTCTCGAGCCCTGCTCGGCTCCTTGGCGCCAGGGTTCCATTCTAGAGCAGGAGGAAACCGAGTCAGGGTCCTAGGAAGGTCAAGGGCTGACTGTGAGGAGCACCTTCTAGTGACCTAAGTGATGGGCCCTTCATAGCACACACCTCGGGCTCAGGTCACCCTGGGGGGCTGTTTCCCCTCCATCCTCCCAGGCAAATGCAACCTCAGTCTCCTCCCTGAAGGCTGCCCTGACCATTGTTTCCTCTGAGCTTCCCCTTTCATCCATCCATCCACTCAGTGGTCCAGCCACCCGCCACCCCTGTCTGGTCTCCTTCACAGCCACCCGTACACCCTTCCCTCCATCATTATTTTCTTCCATCCAAACCTCATTCCTACCTCCCTGGCTTCCTTCTCTCCTTTCTTTTCGGTCCCCTTTCCTCACCCCCACTTTTCCTTCCTCCCTTCCTTCCAACCGCCCATCCATTCCCTAGTAACAAGCCCTGTGCCGGATGCTGGCAATACAAGGATGACTTGGACGCAGTCCTTGCCTTCAGGGGGCCTGTGAGTTAGTGGGAGGGACACACATGGTCGGAGCCACGCTGCTGGACCTTTTTTCCTGGGCTCTACTCTATCTCGTTGTTTATGGGCAATTCAGCCAGAGCTCACTCTCTGAGGCCCATCCCTGACCTGAGGCCTGGGGACGCTGAGGTGAGTCCGTCAGACTCTTGTCTGCAGGGGTTCGCAACAAGAGGGAGAGAGAGACAGACTAGAAATAGCTCTGGGACACAACCGATGGGGATCGTGAGGTGACAGAGGGATGCAGTGAGAGGAGAAGCCGGCTAAGACCACTGCTGTCTTAGAGGGCCAGAGGACTCCCAGGAGGAAGTGGGGTTCAGTAAGGCCTGGCATGCAGGTGGGGGGAGACGCATCGAGTGGGGTAACTGCATGCTTAGGGAAAAGGCATGGCAGCACGGGAGAGATGTGTCGAGTCACAGGATGGTGCCCAAGCCAGGGGTGGTACCTCTCTCCAAAGACCCCAAGCACGTCCCTAGCATGAGGACGCTATCTGGGCCAGCGGGGGTCCTCCGCAGCTGTGGGCGCCACACAGCTGTTTCTCTTGTGAAGGATGGGACTCTTTCTTAAGACAAAATTAAGTGTATTAGTGTATGTATATATATATATATATGGCTATATATACATATTCATATGTGTGTATGTATGTATCCATATGTGGATATAGCCCCATAAAGTCACACATTTAATTTTACTTTAATATACATATCCCATAAAAGTGCATATATATGGAGAGATATATATGCATATGTGTGTGTGTGTGTGTGTGTAGATATAGCTATTTTTAAGGCATTGCTTTGCCCGCCCACACTCCAGTTCCTTTCACTCCTTGCCCAGCCTAGAAGTTCGTGAAGCCTCCACGGATCTTTGCCCGGAACAGGGTTGCGCACCAGGGACCTGTGCCCTGGTATTCCCGGTTTGGGAGGGGGTTATTTGCTGAGCCCGGCAGCTCTTGGCCCCACCCTGGCCCCACAGCCTTGAGGCCTAGTTTGGGTGGGACCTCCATGCCTGGTACCGTGCCAGCCAAGGGAGAGCTGCTCTCACCTGAGCTAGTTGAGGAGAAATGCCATTTTTAGCAAGATGTGTCCCTAGAGTCTCATCCAAGAGTTTCTCTGGTTGCCGCGTTTAGCCCCCAGCCAATGCACTGAAATAACAAATACTCACTAATAATAGCCATCTCCCCAAAGACCCACACACCTGCAGAGATTCTCTCCTACACACCGACAGTGCCTGCTCGCTCGTTCACAACGCACCCGCTGTCCAAGTCTGCACAGACACACATGCACACAAGTACACACAGGAGAGGTGCCTGTACAAGCAGGCAAACATGCAGGCATCACTCACCCAGCGAGTTCCCAGTACGCTCACACTTGCAGAGTTGCCTTTGACACACGTGGCCCACACATGACACATGTGGCCCACACACACAGGAGGGAGGACAAGACTGCCTCAAACCCAGCAGCCCAAAGAGACGGAGGGACAAGACAACACCTTCGTGAAGAAAGGCACAGAAGGAAGTCCCCTCCCTCCGGGCAGGCCTCAGCCCTCTTACGCCCACACAGCTCATCATCCCCAATGAGCCCCCTGGCTTGATCAGAACCCAGAATCTAGTTCCCTGTCCCAAGCTCTAATCCAATGGTTCTCAATCTTCCTAATGCCGGGACCCTTTCATACAGTTCCTCATGTGGTGGTGACCCCACCCCCACCGCAACCATAAAATGATTTTTGTTGCTACTTCATCACTGTCATTTTGCTACTGGGATGAATCGGGCGACCCCTGTGAAACGGTCGGTTGTTTGACTCCCAAAGGGGTCAAGTGCGACCCACAGGTTGAGACCCGCTGCTCGAATCCCTTGGCTTTCCGACGCCGTCCCAGAATGTTCTCTCAGGTAAAGTTGGTTCCTATTTTTCTTGGGGGATGGATTCGGACCCTCGCCGATGCAGGCATCTCTCAGTGAGTCATCCACACTCACCCAAAGCCCTCAGAGTCAGAGGCTTCTCGGGGTGCAGATCTTTAGGGGCACAGATAGCCTCATCTGAGTTAGAACTGCTGACAGTGTCACCAGATCTCATGGTCACAGCCGGCTGGTGACTTTCGTTTGGGTGGCCTGGGGGTGACCTGCCTTCCTGCTGACTGTGGACTGTAAGCACATGCCTGCGCCATCAGGCTGCCGTGCACCAGAGCAGTCACACAGGCACAGAACACAGAGTCCTGGGAGGGAGGAGATGCGCCGGGGCAATGGAAAGGATGAACAGTTCTCAATCACGGGAGGGACCATTTTCTACGTTGATAAGGGCTCACAGCCCAGAACCAGCCCTCTGAAAGGCTGCTTGGGGAGGGGGGTGGTGTGGGCTAGCCACAGATCCCCAAGGGATGCTTCTTCTTCTTCTTCTTCTTCTCCTCCTCGGAATCTGTTGGGTCTGGGCCTCCTAATGTGCACCCAGCAGAGGAGGGGCTTGGGGGCTGCACACGGCCCGTGTCCTCCAGAAGGGGCACCTTTTCCTAATTTGCACAAAGGTGTCTTGCACACCTGACAGGCCTGCACCCTCCCTGCTCCAGGTGTACTCACCCATCAAGAGGTGGCCCTCAGCGGCCGTGGCCATGTCTTCTTCCGGCTTGGAGCAGATCTTGGCAAACACCGGAAGCTGCCTCTTCTGAGTGGGGAGCTCGGGAAGCTTGTCCAGGGGTACAAACGGAGGCGGGGGCGGCAGCAGCAGAAAGGGTCCCAGCCCCGCCGGCTCCTTGGTTCCGGTGCCGCTGAACATGCTGTTCTGCAGGAAATCCTTGATGACCTTGGCCTCCTCCAGCACCATCTTGTGGTCAGGGACCTTGGTGTCCATGGACTTGAGAGGGAACTGGGCCAGGAGCTTGCTGATCTCTGAGTTGGAGGGGCCCAGGCTGTGGCCCCCATCTTCTGACCCTTTGGCACTCTTGACCTTGGCAGAGCGCAGGATGCCGGTGACGGTGGACATGGCTGAGTCGCAGTTCTTCCTGTTGCCAATCACAGACATAGCCATCTTCGGCTTCAGAAGCTTGTCACCGGCGATGACAGCGGTGCCTGAGAGCTCAGTGCTCTCTGCTGCCAGAGAAGGTCCGATGATGCAGGGAGGTGGCTCTTTCCTTCCCTGGGCTGAGCGGCCAGCTGCCTCCAGCTCACTGGGGCTCTCTGGCCCGAGGACGTGGTTCTCTTTGGTGAGGCTCAAGAACTCCTGCTCCACCAACAGGGAGATCTCATCCTTGCCACTGCTGAGTTCCAGTGCCCTGCAAACAGACCAGGAAGACAGACATTTCTAATGTTAGATGACCCAACGGTGGGTTCGTAGCAGGACACAGGTCCCAAGGAAAGGGGGTGAGAGAAACCTATTGCTTTCCCAAGGGGAGACCAGAACTGGGGTACAGCATCCTCTCCCAATACCACCTCTTGCTTCACTGGACCTTAGCTGCAATCCATCCTGCCTGGCCAGTCGTGTTCAGGAGCTGAGGCAATGAGACTCTTGAGAGGTGGCTCTCTGGGAAAGACTGCACTCGAGCAAAGAGGTCAGAGGTCAGTGCTTGCTTGAACTGGGTCTGGGGAAGCCCCGAGCAAGGTAAGAGTGCCCTCACACCCTCCTGGCCCTTCCCCACGGGGTGGCCTTAGGCGGGTCTCTCAGTGTCTGGGCACCTCAGTTTCTTTGCCTAATTAGCAGGTGTGTTAGTCTGGGTAGACTAGAGGAACAAAATTCATAAACACTCATATTTTATGAGAGAGTTTTACATAAAAGGTACGTGTACATTAAGAAAACTTCCCAACCCAGTCCAGCCCAAGCCCATAAGTCCAACATTAGCCCATATATCCGACATCGATCTACAAAGTCCTCCTCAAACTCACAAAACACACGCAAAGACGCCGACTGCAGGAGGAAAGGCGAATCAGTGAGCATGTAAGCATCTCAGCGCTGGCAGGGGTTTCACGAGGCTGCTGCAGCACGCAGGGCTGCATCAGGATAGGTCCATGTGGCTTCTTCTCAGGGATGTCTGCAGGAAGTGAGCCTTGCCAGCTGAGGCAGAGAACTAGCTAAGGCAGTTGCAACTGGTCTGACCCTCAGAGAGCAAGAGACCAGACAGGTGAGGCTCACTGAGCCATTTATCTCTCTGCCCTTCAATGAATCCCACATGTGTTCATCGGCCAGTTTGGCACACTAAACCTTAACTATCACAGCAGAGATGGCATCGTGTCCTCTTCCGGTGGTGCTGTGAAGATGCAGACCACAAAGGACAGTGTCTGCCACACAGAAATTGTGACACGAGAGTCAGCCTGGCAGGGCCAGGGGGCCTGGATTCCACTCAGTGCCCCCCCAGATTCCTCTTCCCCTGGCTGGCCTGACCCTGTGACCAGGTCACAGCCTCTAGACTGCGCTTGCTTTCTAAGTGACACTGGCAGTTGGATTGTCCCAGCAACTGATTTGAAAGGACCTCTTTAAATGGAAGACTCTGGTACCTACAGGCTCCCTAGACCCCTGCCTCCCCCACCCCACCCCAAACGCTCACACACTGGAACCCGTGATGGCCAGCACTGCCTGATAGGGGCTGATGTACCTGTGGGCCGGGATCCACATTGTTTTGGGGTGGCAATCTTTCTAGCCTGGCCTGGAACCTCGGTCTGCCTCACTAGAAGTCTTGGCAAGGATGCATCTTCTTCCATGGTGTGCCCAGAATGACCATAGCCACCTAGCTTGGAAGCACCTGCTGTACCTATTCAATGGGCTCCTGTGAGGGCCAGATGAGATAGCATACATAGAACATTCTGGAAACTGAAAAACACTCTGTTCCTGGGAGCATGAAAGGTTAGGGGGGTTAAGAAGAGACAGAAAGAAATTTAAAAAGCTCCAGAGGAGATCTCAGCTCCGGGGGCTTGCTGTTGGCACTTGGGGAGGAAGCCAGGGCCAGGCCAGGGAGGAGGGAGGCCCAGTGCCTTTGGCTCAGAGGGCAAAATGAGGCTTACAAACAGTGAATATAAAACACTGTAAGCAGAAATCATCCTGCAACCTGGTAATGTTCTTTGCGCATTAGCACACAGACGCACAGACACACACAGTGATCGTTGTGTGTTTGTGTGATACATGTGTGTGGAGAATGGCATAGGCACACAGGTACACGTGTGACCTACACGGAGCTAGGAGAAGAGCATATGAGAACCAGTGAGAATGACAGACCGAGTCTTAGAGGCCCCACTGGGGCGGGAGTTAAAGTCTTGGGATAGTGACGAGGGTCAGCGGAACCCGTTTGGAAGGCCTGAGCTGCCAGGCCACTTGGGAAGCCTGGGGGTGAACTAGGTCCTGAAGCTTCGGAAGCCCGGTGATATGGTAAGAACGGATAGAGCTGCAGCTCCTCAACACCAGGACGCATGCTGGGGAGCAGGAAGCCATGTGAGGCAAAAGCAGGCTCCCCCAAAGCCCTGGCAGCACTGTGTCCTTCCTGCCAGACCCTGGGAGCCTCAGGGCGACCCCCTGTAAGATGGGCACGGCACTGATAGCACCCACCCAGTGCATGAGCTGTGGGGAGCCTGGCACAGTGATGGGCACGCAGGGCACCTGACCCAGGCTGTGCAGGAGGTCAGGCCAGCCCTACTGTCTTTCCTTCTGTCCGTCTCTACGGCTCCCCTTCTCTCTCTCCTCGTCCCTTCCTCTTGTGTCTCTCCCCTGTCTAGACGTCAGTCTATAAATAGGCCCAACTCTCACTTATGTGCCCCCTGGGAACAATCAGAATCAAGAGGTTGCCAATCCATGGTCCTCAATTCTAGGCCCCTGGCCCCCTCTTCCTCTACCGCCTCTCCATCCTCCTCAAAGGAACAGGTGAACCTCACGTCGCAGGAAGGACCAAATACCCGAAGGACCGATTGTCACCACCCTCCCCCAGAAAACACGCTGCCGAGCAGGCGGTCGACCAAATAGCTTTTCTGAATTAAAGATTTCCCTATAATTATGTCAATTTTTATAGAAATTATGATAATGGTATTGTACTTATACTTTTTTAACAATTGGAAAGCACCCTTATCCCTGAGAGACAAACTGAAGTGTATACAGATCAAATGGTGCCTGGGACTTGCTTCAAAATGAAGGCAGCAAAGGGAGAGAGGAGATGGACAGGGTCTTAGTCAGTTAGCCGTAGATTGGTAACTGCTCGCGCTGGGTAATGGGTAGGTACAGCGACGTTCACCATGTACTATCTGCTCTCGACCTTTTTATGTGTCTGCCTGCACACACGCTCACAAGAGACTCACGTGAGACCCTCTCAAGCACAAGCCCCAAGGTACAGGCAAAGCAAATTCCAAGACCTGAAGTCCCTATACCAAAAAAAAGGACAGTCCCTTTTGACCAGCTGAGAGGATGCTCCTAGCCCTCTCGCAGCTGGGAGTCGGGCTGGCAGAGAGGAACAGGCAGGAGCTTGGGTCACCTCTAGAGCTTCTACTCATTGGCACTCCAAAGCACTGACGAGTAGGTCTTCTCCATGCCCTATCGCACTGTGAGAAGCAATCTCACGTCCTTGTATTTGCTTCACACAGGTTCTTGTGGGATGTGGTTTCCAGACTCGCCCGGTCATTTCCCTACGGGCACGCCTTGCAGTCAGAGCCAGCATTTCCAGAAGGGGGGCACAGGGCCCACACCAGCAGCCCCCAACACCCCCCACCCCCTCACCCACCGCCGGGAGCCCCTGGAAGGCACTGCTGAGGGGCCTGGAGGCTCCCGAGGCCCGGTCTCTGCAAACTCCTGCTAGACTGGTACTTGTCATCACAGAGCAGGCAGGCGGGACGCCAGCCATTCACACACACCCCTACACTGAATCCTCTCCACATCCTAGACAACAGACAGTGTGACCCTACTGCTCAGAAGAGGGATGTCACCCCGGGAGACACTAAGGGTCTTGCCAGGGGGGAAGTCACGGGGTCGAACGGCGGACGCAGACGGGTCCAGCTGCCTTCGCTAACTCCTCCCCAGCCCTATCCTGGTCTTCTTTTTGTGGGAAGAGTGATCAGCAAGGTCTTCCTGCTCGGGGCTGGCTCTGCTCCCCAATCTGAATGTAATCACGGTTCCTGCTGGTCTCCTCCCATCACTCCCGCTGGTGGAGAATCATCCCGGCGAATCTTGAGCCCATCATCCATGGCATTAGCTGTCCCTGACAGCCCCGCGTCAGCTGCATGTCTGATGAGCATGTCTACTGGGTCTTCCGCCAATTTACAGAGAGAAATGTTGAACAGGGGAGAGACCAGGGCAAAGCCGTGGGGACAGCAGCCGAGACCCTCCTCCCAGCCTGACCATAATCCTGGCTCAACACTGGAGGAATGAATCAATCCAGGGACTCTCACCCCATCTCCAGTTTTCCATGAGAGCCTTTGTCAAATGCCCCGCGGTAATCAAGATCTACCACCCAATTAGATGCTCCCGGATCGAGAGGCTCCCTTGCCCTGCTCCCTTTGCCCCACAAAGAAAACAGGGTTTGTTCTTATTTCTTCTAGAAAACTGCATGCCCACAGAGCTAGGAGAGTCTTGGAACTCAATGCACACTACTCCCCTGCTTCAAACCCTCACCGGGCCTCTCATCACAGCGGGAGCACCTCCATCCAGATCCCTGTCAGGACACCCCCAGCCCCACCACAGGGCGCTGCGTCACTAGCAAGGCTGGGGCGTCCTGTCCCTCTTTACTTCCCCCTTGTCCAACACAACAAAGCCACATTGGTCTTTTCTTCCTGCTTCTATTTCCCTTGGAATATGCACTTCATTCTGCCCAAGGGCCTTTGCATTTCCCCCTCTCTTCCACCTGCAATGCTGTCCCTGCTGTCTTCCCAGGACAGGCTTTTTCACACCCCCGATCTCAGTTCCTCAAACTGCCCTCTCCTGCCTCCCTTTTAAAGGCATCTCTTCCCAGCCCATTACTAGGCGCACTCGTCTCCACCCATATGCTGGTTCTTCTTTGCAGGTGACACTCTCTTGTGTCTTCTTGACAGTCTTACTCCCTGCAGATGAACCTGGTAGCGCGGAGGCTGAGGGACCAAGAACCGTTCTTGGCATTTAACGCCCAGCTCAATGAAGAAAGTTGTCAGCTAGCTCCTCACTGGCCTCCATCCTTCTCCACATCGGAGCGTGCTCCCATTTCCTGCTGCTCACCCACTCCTGCTCCGCGCCTTTGCCTGTTCAAGGACGGCCCAGTGCCTCCCACAGGCTGCAACCTGTGGGGCTTTGATTCCATTCTCTGACCACCCATCTCAGGTCCCACCTCCAGTCCCA